AACATGAAGCAATTGTGAGGGCTGTTTTTCAGCAAGCTCTCTAGGTATCTACTGCTTGGAGTCACAAAATAATCAAAATGTCTAGAAGAAATGTTAGTGCACACAGGATAATATCCTGTAGGCCATCTTGACTGCTGATATGGGTTTTGTCAACATTCAGGATGACCTTTGATATGTAGAGTCCGGCTTCCTTTTTCCTGCTGGCAGCATGATGATGATATTGTGCAGCAATGTTGGGCCATTTCTTGATGTTGGGAGTCATGGATACAAAAGCACAGTTTCCCACATTCATAAACCAGAGGGTTATTTTTGTTTTTTGAAGAACTGAACTAATCAGTGTTTTGTTGTTTGTTGTTGTTTAGTCATTTAGTTGTGTCCGACTCTTCATGACCCCACAGACCAGAGCATGCCAGGCCCTCCTGTCTTCCACTTTCTCCCGGAGTTTGGTCAAATTCATGTTGGTCGCTTCGATGACACTGTCCAACTATCTCGTTCTCTGTCGTCCCCTTCTCCTCTTGCCTTCACACTTTCCCAACATCAGAGTCTTTTCCAGGGAGTCTTCTCTTCTCATCAGATGGCCAAAGTATTGGAGCCTCAGCTTCAGGATCTGTTCTTCCAGTGAGCACTCAGGGTTGATTTCCTTTAGAATTGATAGGCTTGTTCTCCTTGCAGTCCAGGGGACTCTCAAGAGCCTCCTTCAGCACCACAATTCAAAAGCATAAATTCTTCGGCAGTCAGCCTTTTTAAGGGTCCAGCTCTCACTTCCATACATCCCTACTGGAAAAACCATAGCTTTGACTATGCAGACCTTTGTCGGCAAGGTGATGTCTCTGCATTTTAAGATGCTGTCGAGGTTTGTCATTGCTTTCCTCCCAAGAAGCATACGTCTTTTAATTTTGTGGCTGCTGTTACCATCTGCAGTGATCGTGGAGCCCAAGAAAGTGAAATTTGTCACTTCCTCCATATCTTCCCCTTCTATTTGCCAGGAAGTGATGGGACCAGTGGCCATGATCTTAGATTTTTTTTTAATGTTGAGCTTCAGACCATTTTTGGCACTCTCCTCTTTCACCGTCATTAAGAGGTTCTTTAATTCCTCCTCACTTTCTGCCATCAGAGTG